GTTTCCTACAGCTGTAGATATGTGCCATAACTCACAACAGTCTGAAGCTGGAAGCCCCCCCAGCCATCACTGTAATCTCCCTCCATTGATTGTCTATCAGATTCAGGTCTGGACTTTGGCTGGGCCACGCCAACACATGCTAACATTACATCCAGTAATAAGCTAAGTTAAAAACGTGTTGGTAAAATTAAACAATTGCTTTCAACTTAAATCCATCAGGAGTATGAACAATTTGGGGCTTAACTTTATGTCGCACTTTGTTTCTTTTTGTTTGCTGTATCGTGGGATATGTGATCGAACAAGAGGTTTTCCTTGCCTGTGCAAGCAAAGCATGCTTGACAATAGAAAAGCCTTTCACTTCTCACTTATTTAGCAGGATCCTGGCAAGGAGGCCATTCAAGCAGTTCTTTCAAAAATTATACCTGGAGGCATTTTTTATTCCTTGAGTGACTTTTTAAATCTAAAAGTCCAGTTTTTTAATTAGATGCCCGAATGTTACTTTACAGGTCAATGTGCAAATAATCATCCTGGACTAGACCTAATCATGGATGGGGACGATCCCAAAAATCGTTTCGAAGAGTGACTTAAATGCATTTTACTGGCACAAGATGAATGCTTGGCAGGCCAATTGCAGATTTCTGTTTTTTTTTTTTTTTTTTTTTTAAAGTGTGTTGAGTGACATGAGATTTGATGTTTTTCTTATCTGTTTTTAGTTGCATGGGTATTAAAAGCACTGGGTAGAGTAAACAAACAGGAAGCAGGGATTAAGTAGTCTAAGTTGTCTAGTAGCTCAATTAGAAAAGCTGGAACACAATGCAGAGGTTCACTAAAAGAAAACAGGATCAACAAAACAGTGATCCAACTGAGAATTAAAGGCACAGCAAGAGATATATAATACCACTACCACAGACAGGACATTAAGACTAGCCTGGGTTAAGGTCAAGAGAAAATAACGAATTGGTGCACTACATGTAAAAAATAGTTCAAATAAACTGCAGTAACCCCGGATCTCCTTCTTAAATATTTCTCAACTGTATCTTCATTAGAGGGAAATTCTTCAAAATCCAGCAGTAAACAGGAAGTAGCAGCAAAATGACTGGACTCATTTGATGCAACATTTGCTTTATTGATTGTAAAGCCTGTTAAGTGGGTTCTACAAATAGGTTTTTCAAAAATATCGATAAAGTTAAACAATTCTCTGATTTCATGGTATGTAATTTTCCTTGTGACACCTGAACGCAACGTCCATCAGCCAGCAGGTGTGTGAGTGCAATATAAGCAGCTGTGAGGCTCCGCTTCAGCAAATTAGTAACACTTCATTTCTTTTGGAGAGAGTTTGCAAAAAAACTGAATATGAGTAGACTTTTTGTCGGACTGCTGAAATCTCGACGGATTCAACTTTGCAGAATGTGTGTTGTTCAGCAAAGCGCAGCTTACATCCGCGATAAACCCCCCAAAGATAAAATAGGCGGTGTGGTAAGTTCGAAGCACCAAAATAGATTTTCTTTTGATGTTTTGTCAGAAAATTAAGTTGTTTCTTGTTTGACTCATTTCGTTTGTGTTTCTTTCTCTAAAGGAGTCTGTGTTTGTACTTGCTGTGATGTTTGTCGCCGTCCTCGGACCTTCCGGTTGGATTCTATCAGACTTGGACAACTACAAAGGCCGAGAGTAATCCGGACACGCCGGAGAGCCATTTTGGTGTGCTTGCCGTTGAATATGGGATTTGACTATTGTTGGCTACTGTAATAAAATGTAGTATCATGACGGGTGTGCGGTTTTTTTTTTTTTTTTTTTTTTTTTTTTTTTGGTAAAAGTTTAATTTTACCACCCCCCCCTTTTGGGGCGCAGTGGGGGGGGGCGCACAAAAATCCCC